TGCTATGCATTTTTATTTTTAGTGCTATGAGAATCTTGGTTATGCAATTGTAACACAAGAAGGACTAAGTATAGAATATGATGAGAGTGTTTGCTGTGATGTCTGTCAGTCAGTAAGTAGTCCAATTGATTTTATTTATTATATTGATCAAACTCCTAGAAATAGTCACTACAAAAAATACAATTTTTGTTTATTGTAATATAATTATAAATAATGGGAACAGTTAATTTTAGTTTATTTGTTCAAATATTGCTAATATAGTGTTTTTTTTTGTAGCCTGATAGTGAAGAAGGCAATGAGATGGTGTTCTGTGATTCCTGTGATATCTGTGTCCATCAAGCATGCTATGGCATACAACATATCCCATCAGGCAGTTGGCTRTGTCAGCCATGCAGTAGAGCAGTAACTAAGCCACCTTGTCAGCTTTGTACTAACCCTGGCGGTGCAATGAAAAGAACTAAGTAAGTCTTGTCTGTTCGTCCACCATGACCACTTGATAATATTTCAAACATACTTATAAATAACCAACTAGTACTGACTAGTTACTTTGGCTTTGGTGAGATGGAAGGGGGACGTGGAGCATGCAACCTCACAGATAAGTCCCTGTGGGATGTGATGGTAAAATTTGACAGTTGTTTTATTTTCTTTTGTCCTTAATATTTTAAAACCCACGGRTCATTCAAAGTGAGTTTCTTTAACATGTATATATTTTTTTGCTGAAATCTTTGGTGCTGGACGTTTTAGTTCTCTTAACCTATTGTTTGCTTTTGTTCATTTTCATCAATTCTTGCATGTTCAGTGCAGTTCTGCTTTTTTTGTCCWAATCATGTGTTAGCTTCAAAGTAACAAAGCATCTTTTGACATAGGAAAGGCAAGAACTGGGTTCATGTCAGCTGTGCATTATGGGTACCTGAAGTAGGATTTGGTTGTGTAGAGAGAATGGAACCAATTATTAAACTAGAAAACATCCCGGTAAGAATGTTATCATTTTATAACTTCATTCTCTGAATCTAAATTATTTTATTAATCTGCAAGGTTTTGCACACTTAAAATGACAGACTTTAATAAACGTTTGACGTTTTATTGTCTCTGAAAATGTCATTGTAGTTTATGCTAATTGTTAAGTTGTATTTTCCACTGGMTGAGGAACGAAAAAAGCGGAAAATGTTTTCTCTCACACTATGGGAGCCTGGGCCKAGAGGACTCAATCACGTGRTAAAGATTTAAAAATAATGAGCTCCCATTGGTGTGTGAGAATTTGCAATAGGAAACTATGACTCCTTAGTCCACTATGTATTAACTATTGCAGACAAAGGAAAATCATGCTAATGTATGTATTTGTTTGTGTATTTATAGGCAAGCAGGTGGAATTTGGTGTGTTATTTGTGCAGRGAGAAGGAAGGAGCGTGTATTCAGTGCACGGTAGGTACTATATTCAAACAATAGAACTGTTGAATCAAGGGCATTATACTGTGATGTTTGCGYGCGGAAATTGGATGGCGGCGGGCACTACCGCATCACGTGATCGACTCTCGACCAATGAGAGCGGAGGAAGATTTTTTAAATAGAGAGTTATATAACCAATCATGTTAGATGACAGATTGAGGGCATTGAACTTAGAACACAAAAAGCTTAGTTACGAGATATATTATATTTTCAGGTCAAGACATGCATGACAGCCTTTCACGTCACTTGTGGCTTCAAGAATGGTCTTGAAATGAAAACAATTCTAGACGACACTGCAGTTGATGGTGTTAGACACATTGTATGTRGTAGATAGTAGATTGATCCATCTATCCTCTTTCATCTCGTTCCTTCTTCCTCTTCTCACATTTTCATTTCTTGCTTCTCCTTCTCTGTTTCTCATGATATGGATTTAGCTTTGTTTTGTTTCGTGTTGTATATTCAGTTTGACAAAAATTTATTGTTTATTGACAGTGTTACTGTGCTAAACATGGACACAAGAACAAATCACCTCCAAGAACACCAGAAAAGATTAAACAAGACGCAGAAGATGCGGAAAATCAAAGACAAAAAAAGTAATGTTTTATTGCTCAGTTATTCTAAGTTCTTGTTTCTTTTCTACAGTATTGTTCTTTGCATCGTATTTTCTTCTCGTTTCTGTGTGCTGCTTCAAGGTTTCATGGAAGTTGTTTCACGATRATGTTACGTTTCAGGCTTAAGCAAATGGAGACAGAGTTTTACAAGTACGTAGATGTTGGCGAACTTGCTAAAGACCTTAATATGCCCAAGGAGTTAGCCTCAAGGATACATGCATTCTGGACACTTAAGAGAAAGGTTCGTATGTTATAAAAAGCTATTTCAGAGTGGTTTACTTAAAACTGTGAAACAAAGTGTGACAATCAAAGTCCTTGTGATACACCAAAAAGACAAAGAAATACTGTGTATGGGGAAATCAAGAGATATAACGTGTAGTACTCTTTAGGCACTTATGACAGTTATGGCCCCTTATTCAGCACAAGCTCAGACACTTTCTTTTTGATTGATGTATGTATTTCAGTGATAGTTGAATGTTCGGTATTGGTGGGTGGACTGATCACTTTTGGTTAAATTTCAGATAAAAAAAAAACACACAGAAAAAGGCATAATAATTCGCATCCTCGGTAACCCCTGGGAGCGATAAACGAATATCGAATAGAATATTGCCCAGGGTTCCGAGGATGAGTTGCTCGGAAATGAAAATAATCTTATAAGTTTGTGCGCTTGTAATCGCAGGCTCGAGACGACATACCTTTACTGCCTCCAACCTTAGAGCAGCAAGAGAAGCTATGTGGCAAACAGGTTAGTTTAACAAACGTTGTCACACTTATCCATTACTTTGGTTGGTGTTACATGTATAGTATTTCTAAACCGTTATGTCTGTACTTGAAGGGTGCTGCAAGCCGAACTCTACAAATACAAATAGAGGAACTTATGAAGATGCGATGTGATCTTGAAAGGGTAAGGGACACGTGCAGTTGATGTCAATGATAATGCGTATTATAAATTATTGTTTTATTTCACTATCACACAAATTTTGTGACTTCACTTTAGAGCGTAACAAACCCGTGAAACAAAACTTGATAGTCATATAGACAAACCCGTGAAACAAAACTTGATAGTCAAATAGACACAAAAGGAAACAATGCAATCAAAACGTACTAAGGTGTATTAGTGTAATATCTATTTCACGGGTTTTGTGTCTTCACTCTATTAATATGATAGTAAATAATTATTACTGAGATTTACTATTTAACATGAAAGTCATAGCGAGAATCATAATAAAACTTATAATAGCAGCAAACTATAATCAAGGATTTATTGATTTTTCCTTCAGTTGCGTAACTTGTGTTACATGGTGAGCAAAAGAGAAAAACTTCGGCGGGAATTATTTCGCGTTCGTGAGCAAGTATTCTGGAAGTCACGTGATACCCTGACTGAAGATCCCGTCGACGATCATGATATTCAGTGGATCAGGGAGGCTTGTGGCAAGAACTTTTCAAGTGATGGAAGTCTGCCACCATCATTGCCTTCTTTTGAAACCTCCTCGGAATCTGTTTCTTCATCGAGCGCGCCCRCGTGCAGCAGTGAAAAAACTGCAGCCGAGGAACTYCTTGTTGAGCACGAACCAAGTGACTGTTCCGAAGATAACACGAAAGGAGGATATGAGTCGTCGGATTCCGAAGACTCGCCTCGGATCAAAACACGACGTCGAGTAAGGGGAGTCGGAAGGCCTCGTAAGCAAGTCGTGAATCGCATCCAGTCGGATAACAGTGATAATCAACACGGTAGTAGTGTGAACAAATCAAGTGGCGCTAAAGATGGTTTGCATTCAGAKATCATAACGGAAGAGGACGAACAGAATGGAGTGATGGCTCCTCGAAGATCTTTAAGGTTTTATAAAGTCAGCATGTCATCAGATGAAGATCACTCTGACATCAAGGATGAGACTTGCGAGCAAAAGCGAGTAGAGAGTCTTAATGCCAGCAGTATAGGGCTGAACAAACCTCGAACACGAGGACAAACAACATCTGAATCGACATCGGATGATACGGAATTGGAATCAGTACGAAGTGATGAAACTAGTCCAAGCAGAATTCTACGAAGCTGTAAAAAAGTCAGGCAAGAATGTAATCCTAAAGACACATCAAACRCTTCTGGGGACATAGATATTACGCCGTCTAGAGAGACTAGACGGACGCGAAGCTCACAGAGCGACAATGAAGGGAAAACTGAGATCCAATTMACAAATACTGATGTCTTTACTTCGTCTGTCGTCGCCGATGTCAATAAAGAAGAAAAAGTGCTCAAAGAGAATAATATCCGCGGTAGAKGTGGTCGAAGTAGAACTCTATCTCAAAGCGACGTCGATGAAGATATTTTACCTGGCAAAAGAGCAAAATTAGAAGTTAAAAGACGGTCAAAGGGACGAAGAAAAGTCCACGTGGAATCAGACAACTCGCAGGTGAGAATAACACAATTTTTCATGAAAAGATCACCAAGACAAAAGCGTGGTATCAAATCACCGAAAGCTAAGTTCCTCAATGGTTACAAGTCTCCGAAATCTGCGAAATCGACGGAATCTGAAAGTTCCAAATCTGACGAGGAGAATTCAGAACACAGGGTAGAGCGTTTGTCATCTTTGCGCTCGTTCAACCAKTGTRGTGATAACCTACCACCACAGTCGACGTGTCCAAAGTGTCAAATCCAACATGATCAAAAAAGCATGTCAAGAAGTCCCGACAGAAAAAACAAAGAACTGAGAGCCTGTAATATGCAGTCTCCAAAGTCGCGTAGCCGCCTTTTGTCAAGTTTGCGTTGTTCTCCCTCGCGTAATTGCAGTAATAGAATGTCTCAGGTGRCGTCCGTCGTTTGACCAGACATGTACAGTAGGRTTAAAGATAACTGCGTAACTCTCCCTGTCGCATGCACATCGGATTTGAAACACATTGGAATTTTTGTATTTTGGTTGAAGAAGTTCCGCAAACCTAGAAAAAAATACAGCCATWTAACAACTTGTCAAAATTTACTAGCGGTGTTTTTTAACCATTAAAGTTTTTATTTGCATGACTAGAATTTATCCAAAGAGCTTATAATGCAACTCAAAATGTTTTCCTTTAGATACAAAATGTTTCTCTAGATACTAAAACGATTTCATCACAATTTCTGTTTCTACTTCGCCTTGATTTTAAAGGCTGGCTCTAAAGTTTGTGGTATGCGACTGGGAAAGTTGCGCCTTGTAACTAAAATGAAACTAATTATTCACGTAGAAGTATACGTTAGTACACTAGTCTTTGACTATGGAAGGCTTTGATTTGAACAACTGACGGGGAATCGTGATGACATTTTGTACTGCACTAGAATCTAATTGGCTGGTTTTAGTGACCCGAGGGAGGTGGGGGGTTCAATTGACTGTTAGTGCAGCATACAAGACGTCATCCATAGGGTAAAAGTTATTTGGAGATGTTTGATATCATGAGGGAGCGGACGACGAAAATCAGACTGTTTTTATATAGGCTTTTATGGAGCACATTTTACTGTATCACAACCTGACGTTAGGGACGTCTATTTTCATAGCCATTTTGTGCACAATCGGTCAGCAAGTGTTTTTAAACCATAAAAGTACTATTAAACGTCCTATTGTATGCATATTTACCAGATTCTAYGAAAAGAAGGCGTATTTAAAATATCTGGTTTGTAGTTGGGCTTTGTASTTATCAAAATTACAACTGACGCTTGTACCATTGAAGTGTTCCGCTCTTTGAAAAGCGATTCGGTCTAAGATTTTAAGTGAAGGAAGTCTTACAAAGCAACACGAATGAGTAGCGAGGCTACCATCTCATAGTTGTAGCCTTGTGATATAGCAGCCTTGCTCGTGGTGCTTGTAAGCAGGGGTTATAAGATAATGCAGAGCGGATAACAAAATCGTACAATGTTTCATTGTACATTAGGACTCGATGCTACTTGTAGAACAGATTTTCGTTGTAAATTTTCTTTGGAAGAAAAGACACATAGCTGAATGAAGCTCTACTTGTGGCTTTGAATCCTCATGACTTAGGAGCAACGTTGGAMGTTAACGTTTTACGAATTTCGTTATCTGTGTTATCGAATTATTTAGTCCATTAARTAACAATGAAAGAGGTTCAGTTGGTATAAATCAGTAGATGTTTGCACTCGGTGGACTAGTCTTAGTTTAAATTAATACACACAGAAATGAAAGACATCAGAGAAGTTACTCGAAAAAGAAAGCTAAGTCCGAAAGGGAGCACGGGAAGGCAATTTTTTGGCTTGTGGTATGGTGTCCATGGAAAACGATCGACACTGCAAATGTGCACGTTCTTAGATAATGGACTATTCTCTTAAAATCTCATTACTGAATAGTCAGTACGGCAGTAGCCTCGTTCCTAGGATGGAAATCAATAGAATAATCGATCAATTTATACATAGATTCGAGGCTTGTGTTGGAATCTTGAGAATGGTCAATATGATCCCCACATTTCAGTATACCCAAAATCCACTTCGGTCTTAGCTTCTTTGAGCCCACGTTTCTTAATTTGGTCACTGTGTTTCGTTATGGATCGAAAGATATTGGGTGAAGGCCTATCAAGGCTGATTTCACAAAGCAAATTATGGCAACAGTATCGTGTTTGTAGTATAGCACACAAATATATTGATCTCTTAAAAGTTTTTAGCTTTTAGATCATGAGTGTAATCTCGTCAATATTTTAGCAAATTAAAGATGGAGAAGGAGAAATCTCTAGSGTATTGTATTAGTATTTACTCTATAATGGTGGGAACTAGCGGTAAACTAGTGTGAGCTGCGTCGGTGTTTCTAAAGAAACAGTTATGTAAAAAGATAAATTTAACACCGTAAAAAAGTAGGTGAAATAACTTACTGACGTTTCGGACGTTAATCCTTCGTCGGAGTACTTCAAGCACAGGCGGACCTTGGTTCAGGTCACTACGAGCCAGGACGGCGTTCATATGGGGAAATATTTGGGGTCCCGGGAGGGGGAACCCAATCCCCTGTACCTTACCAGCTGGATCCGTCCCTGCTGAGGCTTATTTTCACTTATCAAGCATAGAGATAAACGAGTTTTGACATGACTTAGCGCAATTTATAAAACCTGTTCGTTTTTGTAGCTGTGCTTATGAGGTGCACAGTCCCATGTTTTCACAGTTTTACGGCTCTTTTTATGCTAGTATAATTATTATGTCGCTGTTTTGACTGCTTATTTCAAATGTCAAACATTTTTTATGGATTTATTTCCATTCTTTGACATTCTTTTACAATTCCTTTCATTTATCGCACGGCGTGATTTTTCATCACTAATCTGTAAAYGGGACGTCTATAGCAGGGTAATGAGGAGAAGTCTACAGTCATTCAGTGATCCCAAAACGTGTGTTAAAAATCTGATCTTAGTTGATCCATGAATATGTTTGATCCCAACTCTACAGTGACCCCAAATAATGCTGATCTTTGATCCCATATATACTGAAGTGAAATTAGCGGCTGATTCAGCATATTAGGCGTTCCGTTGATGAGTTCACGACCCGTGGAATAAAACGAAGCTGTAACCCCCTGTAAGCGAGTATAACTAGCATGATAAGGAACCATCCAAGTGACTGCAAGCTCATTTCTGCAAGCTGAAACTGGGTGCTAATGAAGAATCGTTTTAGACTACTCTTTCCCACCTTTTGGCCTTGTTTTTTAGTTATTCTGTAATTTTCTCCAATGAGGCTGGCTAGTATTCTTACTACAAAGCGACAAACAATGTGATTTAAACAACCCCCCAAACTGCCCTCTAATGTTATTAAGGCGCTCAGTGAACCTTTAAACGTCGAGACTTCATGCTGTCATRGTTTAATAAATACAGCTGGACAAACAATATATCTAGCAATGTTTCATCTTCACTAAAAACAGTTTTCATTCCAGTTTACTAATAAACTTTCCTTTTTCTCATGAAAACGTTGCAYTCACTAATGCAATTCATTATATACCCGCCGATTATTTTTAATGGATAGAAATGCGTAAAATACCGTTTTTGACAGTAAATTGTTCAAGAGAAGAATGCGGGATGGACAATCAGCTATCTTGTGCATCATCGGACAAATACTTAGTCAGTCATTAACCATGTCTATTGGCCTTATTGTCCAATCAAAAAGTCCGTATAATAAAGCCGTCAATCAACAAGCTCACGGTCAAATTACAACCTTTCGTTTACCACGTTTCTGTTGCAAGGTTCAAATCAACAACGAGCGATATTTGATGGTCTCCAATGGCTTGTAACGAGTCGATTGCAGATTCTTGTGGACCAAATGGTATATGTTCTAACCACACTTCTCAGGGACCCTCGTGTTATTGTTTAACAGGCTTTACATTAGTCAATGGGATATGTACCATCCCGCCAACTCCATTGCCGTATTCTGCTGTTGCATCGTTTTGTTGGTTATCATTCCTTCTGGTCGTGGGCAARCTTCTACGGCTGTATTTCTACCTCTTTCAAAAACTGTATCTTCCTGCGTCAGTGATTGGAGGAATACTTGGTCTTATCATCATTCAACTTGCTAGTTTGAAACACGAAGTGTCGAGCTTTATAAGACTGAATTTCACTCAAGGATGGTGAGTACTCTTTCTTCAGTTAAGTAGTATGTCCTATCACGAAGGTCAAATAGATAGAACATACGATAATATTTAAATCTCAGTCTGTGTGTTTATTGAATGTTTTTAAGAACGAAATTCTAGAACGGATTATCGAATTATGAAGTTACAATTTCGCTCAGCTTGAGCGTGACATGTTTACATTTGAGTGATAACACGTTTTAYAGTCTTGTGAACAACAGCTTGAACAGAATTTTTCGCAGACCATATTATCATGATCTTTGTAGTAATTTCGTATAGYGCTCTCCACAAAAAGGACAAGGTTTGACCACTATTAAGAAGTTGAAATGACATTTTCAGATGTATTTATGAATAATAATAATTCCACCTTCGTCAAACATTATAAAAAAATAGAAATGAATTTCCAAAAACTGGGAAAATATAAGAGAGAATGCAAGGGAAACCCCTTTTACATGGGAATATCCTCGGTAAATTTTAAAAGTTTTCGATTTAGTGAYCATCGAAACCAATGCACTCAAAACTCGGAAATAAATCTCGCGAATTCATAACATATATTCTCACATTRRCAAAGGGAGACAAACTCACTTGGTAGAGATGGRAACGTGGATATATCGGTTTAGATGACACATGCGATATCTATTTTAACAGATATTTAAGGCTGATTTACACGGCACGATTGTCTCGTGCGATTTGTAGTGTCCGACTTGAATCGCGCAGTGTAAATGCCCCTACGACTTGTCTACAACAGTCGTACGCAACCTACGACTTGTATTGTACGCAATTTAGCAATTTTTGCTACCATGTACATAAATAAAGCTTCTATTCTATTCATTCTATTTTATTCTGTAGTAGGATTTTGAACCACTGCTTAAAATCCTACGACTTGTAGTAGGAAAATCGTATACTACAAGTCGCGCGCGACAAATCGTACCGTGTAAATCAGCCTTTACATGCTTACTAATCTTCTCCTCAGGCAACTTTTCTACTGCCTCGGGTTTCCTTTGTAACGGTCAGTATTCAGACCTTCATCTCTCGCTACCATTCTCCCTGCTCTGTCTCCTTGGTGGAAAAAAAAAACCGAAGCCCGTGACTCTTAGTAATGACTGTGTAGGAGCTACCGTCGAACAAACTTTTTTGCAGCATTGTGATGTCTKAAAGTTCGGTACCAACAGCTTTTTCTCCTTTCACAGGCCACGTAATAACAAATCTAATCATGAACTAGTGGGGCTCGCTCTTAACACACTGACCAACGCCCATGACGGCAAAAACCGCCCAACGTACCTTTTATACTAACAGGCTATGCCCCTTCTTCAGAAACATGTCGAAAACACCTTATCTACAAATRGGACACACTCTGCTGTACACAGAGGCCAACGCCTTTTCTTTCCATAAMTGGACAAAAGGTCCCCTCTCTCCTCATATAGTCACCGCCCGGAATCTTTCATTTAATATATTGGCCAATTTTTCCCCTTTCAACGTCTGGCTTCAAAGACAGTTTTTTAAAAAAAAACTCTAGACTCAGCTTGCATATATGATAACGTGCTATTGTAATATTGCTAAATATTACTTAAATTTTCATTTAAAATTCCTTCTAAAACTTTTGATAAAACACTTATTGTTTTTGTAAATCTCTTTCAATTCGGCCTTTACAGATCGTTGAATCTGTACATTTTACAAATATTTGTTTAACACTTTTGCTGTTTCGGAACTTTTGATTACCTTTAATTACTTTGCAATGCCTCGTACGTGCGCTATAGATCTGGACTAATCCCTTTAATATTTGTTTATCGTACATTTTCCGATGTCATGCGCACTTGAATTCTGCTTACTTATAAGGGAATTCCGAAATCGATAATTAAGTGCGGATGACATCAACTTTGATAGTTTCATATTTTCAAATAACTTTCTTATTTCCATTTTCAAATTTTTCATAATGTTTAGCTTTTCTTATATTTTCCATATTGTACCTTTATTAGGGTCAGTCGTCAATTTAAGGTTATATATATTTTTGATATTATAACTTGTGGGAAATACGCCCAGTTATATAAATATGATCTTACATAGAGTGACGTATCACTCAGTGTAAAAAGGGCTAGTTTACCTAGGTCTAGAGAGTTTTGTAAGGACCTTTTGAGTACAATAAACCTGTTGTGTGCCTACCTGAGTCGTATCTGGAGTACCTCCCGTATTGCTAAAAGCGAGTGCCTCAACGCAACCCAAGACCCAACTTACAGTGGGAAAAGTCCATTTTACACTATAACTCGTCAAAATACACCTACTTGAAGAAACGTTGTCATAGAAAATAGGACATTTGTATTTAGTAAAAGTAATAAATTAAAAAAGACAAAAGAAGATCACTGAGGCTGGGCGTTCTGTCTTCTCTTGTTTTAATTTATTCCTTTTTACTAAATTCAAATGTTCTATTTTCTATGACAATATTTCTGCAAGTAGGTGTATATTAAAAAAGAAAAACAGGAAAATATTTAAAATGCAATATTAAGCAACCCCTTATKCAAGTTTCAATTATTGACCGAAGTAATTTTTCTATTTGGTAAACAGGGTTGGTAATTAGACGTTTTCAAAAAAATGAGAATAATTGTTGCCATGCAGAGGAAAATTTCAAATCACTATGAATGTATTTGAAAATGAAGTAGCAATGTTATAAGCTTTTTTGTAATAGTTGCTTATAATCTTCCGTATCAAACTGGCTTAGCTCACKTTGCGTCAAAGCCATTTCCCATTCGAGTCGAGTTAGAACTTTTTCTAGTGAATTTTCAATGTTTCACTTTGGACAATAGATTGGGTTTTCAAAATGCTTTTATTATTATTTTATTATCTCTGATCTATTTAAATGTCGTATTATCATTCATTATTATCATTAATTATCTCGTAATTTTAACTTAATAATCGACTCCTCGTATGCTCCATTGGTACCTGGGTAATTTAATGTGACGCTTAATCTAAAAGAAAAAAAAAAGAGTAATAATTACTTTTTACGTTGGTAAGTAAAACACAGAAAATCTACTGAGCAAATTCCTTACCTCACTCAAGATTAGTAAATTTTGCGTAGACCTTCACACATACTCGACCAGCATTATCGCCTTCAGTCCAGTTAGCGAGATCTTCGCCGTACCAGATTCTCATCTGCTGGTTTAGTGGGAAATAGAATGGGCGAACAAAATTTTCTTGCAAAAACACAAGTTTTTTGCTTTTCACTGCGTCAGCAAATGGAAGGTTGTACCAGAGCCCACATTTATATTTTCTGCCAATGAAATACAAAATTTGATGAATAAGCATGGAAAACAAAACAGAAGTACCTCTGACATACATTAACATATGGGTTTGGTTAAAACGGTTTATCGTCTTTTTGATGCAATTATCTCTTGTAAACTTACGAGCTGTAAAGATCTTTTCTTGGAAAGAGAATTTGATTATGTTCATCTGTTACAACTACATTTACAAAGTTCCTTACAGTGTATATTCCACATCCCCATCGGCTGTTGTAGACTGCACTATTAGCACAGCGAACATAGCCGTGCTGATAGACAAGTTTGATGGCAGCGACCTTACCCTCTTTAACATAGTTTCGGAAGGAGCCATATTGGTTTCCCCTTGCCCCAAAGCACACCAAATGACGACTGATTTTTATCCATCGACTTCCACTCACAACTACAAATATAATGATACACGGAACATAATCGGGTCAAAAATTGAAAACACGTCACGTTTGTTGGAATTCGACGTTTACACTGCGCAACAATCACAAAAATCTACTTTCATTGCTACTTGTTTCCGTTCCTTATATTTTTATTTTGTTCTTTAGATCGATATACCTCGTAATTATATCTAGTGAGGAGAGGTCTCAAAAACACAAATTCCTATAAAAAAACGGCAAAGCGCTATTAAAAATAAATATACTTCTTTGCAATTGTTGCGGAGCGAAACGAACGTCGAATTCAGAATTGGTGTTTTCAATATCACGTCCTTTATTTATAAACGGTTGAGTTTCTTTTTTGTGTGGAAATATAGTATGAAATAAATACTCTTATCAACAAGAATTATCAGAAAGAGACCAGATAACAACCATAACAGTAACCTACCGTTTCCGTGCTGCAAAATCATCGTTGAAACGAGGAACAAGAGAAGAAAACGAACTTTGAGAGACGGCATGTTATCATTTCACTTCGTTCGCTTCAAATGATATGCGTGTACTTTGTTTACTTCTAATATCTGAATTGAAAACTGAATGTGAATTCTAACGTGCAGGTTCATGTCAAGAAGACGAACTGCTGTGTTTCACTAGGGTACCACGGGCGGTTAAAATGGTTAATAAGCTATATAGTCTATTCTAAATATATCCGTGTTCCTATTTCATAATATAGACGGTCAATATTATATAGGTATAACTAAAATGTACATTTATTTGAACTAGTTTTCTTTATAATCAAAAAGTAGTTATTTGCTACAACCTCAGTTCTTTGCACTCTCTCTTTTTTTTGGGCATGATTATCACGTGACATGGCATTCGGATACGTCAGATCGTTGGACATCACTTCCCCAACAACCATAGAATATTCTTTACGCCAAAACCGACAAATGATAACACCTCCACAGACGGGACGATGAGTTATCAACAATTTTTTTATAACGATAAGAAAATGTCAAAATGGCCACAAAACTAATAGAGAAATTAAACATTAGTTTCAGTGCTCCATGAAATACAAACACTTTAAAATTGAATTATACTCACAAATGACCAAGTTGTGCTTTTTATTCAGATAAACAAAAGGAGGACAAAGAGYATTTTCACAATATTGTGTTACTCAGTATTTTATACTAACCATCGATTAGGAAGTAAAAGATCGTTCTTTGGTTATTAMACCTGTGCAGTAATTATTCACATTATCATATTATTATCTATGAAAAACCTATATTTCTCTCTTCTGAAAAAAAGTTGTTATTTTCACTAGTGAAGCATTCGAGGTTTCTCTATATACTTGGAAGAAAAAAAAGGTATTTTACGAGGCTCACTCGATCATCAGAGGTCTTTTCAACACTCAAAGACAAAATCCTCCGGGCGCCCAAGTAATATCCTCGATACAACAATACCATTAAACTTAATCTTTCTGAAAATTGTGTATGTCAAACATGCTGATTGTTAACAGCACTAGTTAAGTATTTAGCGTGATTTTGCACTATGCTCTGTTTTTGGATTTTCAAACTATAAACAAGATCCACTTTGTGGAACACATCGTGTCCAAGAGGTTACGGTAAATCACTGGAAAAAATCGCGCGCTTTAAAGGTTGTAAATTTGATGTAAATATGATGTAAGTGTCCAAAATTCTGTAAATTTAATGGAAAGATTTACATCAAATTTACAGAATTTGGGACACTTACATCATATTTACATCAAATTTACARCTTTTAAAGCGCGCGATTTTTTTCAGTGTATAAAGTGTAAAGAATTTTGCCGTGGAATATATTTTTCTTATTGAGTGTCATTATTACGAWTTAATGGGTTCTGCGTATAATCTTTTCCCATCACTTCGGCTTCTGAATATTTTTATCATATTGCATCGAAAATTTAGCACTCAGATTGCATTCTCGGCATTGCAGTCTGAGAATTTATAACATGGTAGGTCGCTTCGCAGTTTTGAAAGGAAAAAGGACAAGTATTTTTTAAAGTTAAGAAAAGAGAGAAARAAAAACTGAGAATACAAGGGAAAGTGAATATTCTCGGGATATTTTAAAAGCTTTCAATTTAGTGAGCATTGAAACCAATAAATYTCACTAGTATGATTTCACGACTTCACAATCTCATTATTAGCGAACTTCAGATTTGAATGTAACTTTATGTAACTTATTCAGTTTTTATATCACGGTCCGTCAAAGCCACTTACGCATTCGAGTCGAGTTAAAACTTTTTGTAGTGGAACAGGTTTCACATTGGACAATAGATTGGGTTTTAAAAACGGCTTTTATTATTTTTTATTCATTATTATCATTAACATTTAAGACATTTTAATATTTTTTTTAAATAATCGATTCCTTGTATGCTCCATTGGTACCTGGGTAATTTAATTGTCACTTAATCTGAAAGGAAAAATAAAAAGAATAAAATAATGATCGCTTTAAAACATAGTAAATCTAGTGAGCTAATTCCTTACCTCAGAGAGTAGTGAATTTTGCGTAGACGTTTACACATACACGACCGGCATTATCCTTTTCGCTGGAATTAGCGAGATCTTCACCGTACCAGATCCTCATCTGCCGTTCGAGAGGGAAATAGAATGGGCGAACAAAATTTTCTTGCAAAAACACAAGTTCTTTGCTTCTCACTCCGTCAGCAAATGGAAGGGTGTACCAGAGCCCTGATTTATATTTTCTACCAATAAAATACGAAATTTGATGAATGATTATTGCACTAGTCAAAGTAAACCCCCACCCCCACCCCAACCCGGGACCCTACCCCAACCCGGGACAGGGTGGGGATATGTGGGGCATTTGAAAAATGGACTTGGCAAATGTTGGTAAATACCCCACATCGTGGKGGAGAATGGGAAATCAAATCTCCGRCCCCCTRGGGACAAAAACCAAAACAGAGAGAAAACTATTAGAATATAACCGTGAAATTTAAGTGAAACAAAATGCCATTTTCAATAAAATCCTTTGTTTTCTACAGCAATTTCTACATGACCAGCCATGCAGTTCAACTTATCTGTGGGGGGTCCAYGACATTCRTAGGGCCACAGRAAGCCCAAGTTGCATTTWAAGAGTTTCCAGGCCTTTTCTAATTATTTGACCAATCCCGACCTTATGCCCCACTATGCYCCRACTATATTAAAACTCTCGTAAAATATTCACTTTATCCCCACCCCCTTGSGCATCATTGCTGRTCAAATGTGATCACAAGCCCCACATAGTCCCCACCCTGGGGGGTGTTTACTTTGACTAGTGCATTATGGAAAACAACAYATAAATAGACATACAAAGAAGTACTGCTGACATACATTAACATATGGGTTGGGTTAAAACGTTTATCGTCTTTCTGATGCAATTATCTCTCATTTGTAACTTACGAGTAGTAAAGATCTTTTCTTGGAAAGAGAATTCGATTGTGTTCATCTGTTGCAATCACATTGACAATGTTCCTAAAACGGCCTCCACATCCCCATCGGCTGTGGTATACTGCCTTTCTAGCACAGCGAACATAGCCGTGGTGATAGACAAGTTTGATGGCAGAGACCTTACCCTCTTTAGCATAGTTTTGGAAGGAGCCATATTGGTTTCCCCTTGCCCCAAAGCACACCAAACGACGATTCATTTTTACCCAAGCACTTGCCCGTACGACTGAAAATAAGGGAATTTTATTCATCTTAGTCTAAAAAAGATCATCAAAGAAATACATCAAATTCAATGAACTTACCAGTTATTTGTTGCAAAATCATCGTTGAAACGAGGAACAGGAGAAGAAAACGAACTTTATGAGACGGCATGTTAACAGTTTCACTTCGTTGTCTTCAAATGAGTTGCGTGTAGTTTATTTATTAATACTGTCACTAATATATGCGCCTCGAGTGGCTGCACTTTAGACTGTCTTAGCTTTTCTTTCATTTTCTTAGTYTAAGATGAGAGCTTCTTTCGATTTTAAAACTTCAAAGATATAGTTCTAAGKTTTTGGACATGCTACCAACTGCTTTTCAATGTGTGGTTCGTCCGTTTGGCCCAAGAAATTTGCCGTTAACCATTTCAAGTTTCTTCACTTCAGTTCACTTTGATTTCTATTTAAAATAGATGCGACATTTAATACAATAATCATGCATCGCGTCGCAAKATCACTGAGGCAGATCCTAGTACACGATATAAATATTCACTTAACGAGCTTCGACGTCTTGGAACATCAATCAAACGTCAACCTATTGAGCACACTATCTTAAATCAACTCCAAGATTTCGGAATTTTGCGACCCTTTCGTGCTGTCGTGCTGGAAAAGCTTTATGCAAGATACAAGATACAAGATATTTTATTATTGCCTCTGTATAAATGATATTTACATTAGAGTTTNNNNCCTGTTAGCAGGCTAGTAAACACGAGTTCCTTGCTATGTTCGGTGTCAGCAAACGGGAGATTGTACCATATTGTCGATCCACTTCAATAACAAAAATATTGTAATTAGATCCTGTAGCACTTAACTAAATTGAATTCTTCGTTTTCAAAAGGCCGCGATTTAGACGTACAACTTTTGCCAAAAACTATCGCTCGCATGCAACATGCCTAATTTTGATTATTACAATAGATTAAAAACAATTGTTTGATAAGCCTACGACAGTTGTAGCTATAGATATAAATATAGTTGTAGATATAGATAGTTGTAGCCATGCTGTAATGATGACTTAGGCACGTTGTATGGGATCAGTTTTGGGCAAAAAATGCACCGTCTAAATCGGCCTAAATACATCTTGGAGGAACTTCAACAAAGGATTTTTCACTAGTATCTATAGTTCATTCATCCAGCATGGCCGTCGGGCTTTTGTCTTTTGAATCTCATGGGAATGATTGGAAACGATCAATAACACAAGGAACAACAACAACAACACACTGTACACTTAAAGCAATTAAATTTACTGTAAGATTTCTTTTCTTGGGAAGAAGAACTTGGTTGTTCTGGTCGGTTCCTATGACGTTCAAAGGGATTTTGGCCAAACCAGTGTGCCTTCCGCATCCCCATCTGCTATTGTGAAATGCATTGTTGTCACACCGTATGTAGCCTCGAAGGTAGACGAGTTTAATGGCAGCAACCATTCCTTCTCTGGCATAGTTGTGAAATGAGGCATACTTGTTACCCCTCGCGCTGAAGCACACTTCATGGCCATTCATTTTCACCCAATAATACGTGCTGGTATGTCCTTTCACAACTAAAATAAATAGAAATCAAGGTTATACTATCAAAATGTAGTCATTTGCTACAACCTCAATTCTTTGCAGTCTCTTTTATTTTGTGGCATGGTTATCACGTGACATGACATTAGGATACGTCAGATGGTTAGTCAAAATATTACCAGCAACGATAAAATATAGCCTCCTTGGCAGGCATCACAAAGAATCACGGGCTTCCTGTCTTTTTTGGGAGTCAAAAGAGGAAGAATGGGTCGAGAAATGGGAGGCGTGTGATGCCAACTCCTCCTCTTCTTTGTTTTCCACAGACGAGACGACAAGTTATCAAAAAATTTTTATAACGCCGGGCAAGAAAATGTCAAAATGGCCACAAAACCGCAATAGAGCAATAAAACATTAGTTTGCTCCATAGAGTTACAAACACTTTAAAAAAAATTGAATTATAAAAAATTATATTCTTATTTAAAAAAATTGAATTATACTCACAAATGAACAGGTTGTGCTTTTTATTCAGATAAACAAAAGGAGGACAAAGAGTATTTTCACAACATTGTGTTAATACTTGGCAAGTTTCTTGACAAGGAAAAATTGTCAAATGGTCAACAAGTTTTCCTTGACAATTTTTCCTTGCCACATTTTCCTTGTTGTCGATTTACACGGCTAAATTTCGTCCTTGACAATTTTTCCTTGTCAAGGAAAACCGAACATGTTGTCAATTTTAAAATTGCTCGTATAAACGGCGCTTTAATCAGCAAACAATATTTTAACATAAGGAACTGAAAGTCAAAAAAAATCCGCGCTTAAAAAAAAAAACTGTTCTACTAAACTGCGGATTGGCATGGACCCCTTGGATTAATTAACGCAACATAGACTAGACAAGAAACCAATCAGTGCCATTCATTCCCTTAAAGAGAATGTGTTAATCCAAGGAAGGCTCACTAATTTGTTAATATATTAAGAGATACAGATAATCCATTAACACTGTTCTCAGTTGTAAACAGGTAAAGACAATAACAAAGTTATTTGCATACTAAATCGTATTTTTTTATACTTTGCAAGAATATTCAACCATAAAGTACCAAAGCAAAAATCCTTTACAATGTCGTCAATTAACTTTAATAAATTCGCTATATATTTTTAGAGTTTAGAATTGGATTTCTTGTTTTTCGTGTCTTTATGTCTTTACAAGTGAACATAGTTTAACTATGAAGTGGACAATGGGATTGACTWTAGAATGATTATTATTCAAATATATATCCTAACGGATTGTCTCAGCAAAAACATTCATATGTTGTAGYCATGAAGTGAGTAATACTTATATAATGTCGAATAGCACGCCGGGCCTCTCTTCCTCGTTGGAAATAGTCAGTATTTGTAGATCATTAGGCGAGCTAAAAGACCCCAGTAAAGCAACTTCAGCATCACTCGCTGCGTCTCTTTCTGCTATCGTTGCGACTGCATTGACTTTACCATTCGCTGCTATTCTCAAYGGATTGGTTCTGTTGGCCTTTTACAAGAATCCATCTTTAAGAAGACAATCACACGTATTTCTTATGTCACTGGCGTTAATAGATTTAGTCAGAATCATTCTTGCATCTCCRTTCTATTTATTCAAAGAGGTATTCTACCAGAAGATGCTTGAACCTAACTGCTTTGTGATGGCGTCTTTCATGAACTTCTCTCTTTCAGCGTCAAGTGATTTGATATTAACAGCAATGAACTGTGAGCKGTTTATTGGTCTAAAATATCCAATATGGCATCGAGTGAAYGTCACAAAGTGTGGACTTTACAAGATTGCCTTTGCTTGCTTCATGGTCGGTGCTACTTTGACCCTCGTGCGAACCTTCATTGAAATARCASAGATTGTCAACCTTCTTTTTTTTGTTTGTACTTCGTTTGCTACGTTAACTTTTGCAGTTCTGATTTGGTGGGTCATTAAAAAGAGGAATCAATCAGCTCGGACTCAAAGTGGTTCTCGGGATTTCCTTGCTTACCATTCAAGCGATCGTGAATCGGCTGCACAAAAATATATTGACGAAGAACTTCCACCATTGAAAGTTTTCCACATTATCCAGCAAGAGGCAAATCCGAAGCAAACTTTTGAAGTACGAGCGGGCGTTCAAAGACAAAAAAATGCACATAACATTCCCAAGCATATTAATTCTGTGAAAAATAGTGCAGAGGAATCGGATGTGTGTTC